TATTATATTATAAGTAATTATAAGAAATTAGTTTTCTGAAAACTAATTTCTTAAGTGTTTAATGGTCTATTTATTGTACTTTCGTTGATAATAATAATCATCACATTTTGAACAATTAGTTCAACTAGCTTAACACATTTTAGTTATTAGTTTTACAAAAGTCAAATTTTCACTGTTAATAAATTATAAGACTTCCATGAGAAAATGGTTTAATTCCTTTCTTTAGGAAAAATTTCTCTCATCATTTTCTATGATATCACATGACTAACTTTAATAGTTAGTTTTCTTAAATTTATTTTTGAGTGGTTGTGATTAAACATCATGCCAGGAGGAATTGAGAGGAGAAAAAAATTCCTAAAATTTATTATTATGCTGGTGGGTGGCATAGCTGGTCTTCTTAATAGGTCCATAACAGCAATCATGTTTGGAAAAAGGGAAATTATGTACAGAACAAAAGATTTGGTCAGGGGAAATCACTATTCTCACATGATTACAGGAGTTTTTTTGATCTGGCAACTCAACAGAACATGTTTGCAAGAGAGATTTCATGTGAAATTGGGGCAAAAGTTTCACATGTAATTGTTTGGAAAACATTAAGGAAAAACAAGCATGCAAGTTACATAAAACTAAAGGGTAAGTCCAAATTGACTGAGACATATAAACAAGCAAGGTAGGAATGGGCCAAGAAGTCCTGGACAAAACAGTGGAACAATGTGATGTTTTGACAAAAAGAAGTTTAATCTTGACAGATGGGAATAATGCATATTGGCATGATTTGTGCAAAGCACCTAGGGAATTTTTTAATAGACAAATAGATGGAGATGGCATCATGGTTTGGGGAGCATTCTGTTATGATGCTAAACTTGTTCTTGTTAAAGTTAGCATTAAATTAAAATTGAAAATTATCAGGTGTTATTGGAAAAACATTTTTTCCCATTTAGATCGCATTTTAGAGGAAGGAAATGGTACTACAATAAGACAATGCCACCTGCCATAACTCAAAGGCAACTCAAGACTGGTTTAGGGCAAAGAAAATTTATTTTTTTACATTGGACATCAAAAGTTTCGACTTAAAATTTCCAAAAGTTTTCAATGGAATTTAAGTCAAAGTATATGCAAACAATTGCCAATTTTCAAGTGTTTGAGAACTTGAATGTGAAATTATGCACCAATGGCATAATAAAATTATTGACAATGAGCTATTGAAAAAATTGGTAGAATCAATGCCAAACAAGCTATTTAAAGTGATATGAAGAAATGGAGCAACAATCAACTATTAAATTAATCAACAAAAAAATTCTCAATATTTTTTTCTTGGTGTATTTCTGGTATATAATGTATTAACAGTGAAAATTTTTAGTTTTTTGTAAAACTAATGTCAATGTGTTAAGATTGTTGTACTAATTGATAAAAAAAATTGAGTATTTACTATACTTTCTTGAGAATAATAATTGGCCATTAAACATTTGTTTAGGTTTCTCAAAACTGACAATAATGGTCTTATAATTTCTTAACAGACTGTATATACATATATACACTGTACAACTTAAGATGACAAAAGTATTAATATTTCACTACATCTAATGTAATAATGAATTTTGAAGTAAGTGTTCTAACCATCTCATAAAAACTACTTTTGCTAAAGTACCCATTAACAAACACTGCATCATTTATATTGTAGAGTATTACATCATACATGAGGAGAATAACTCAACAAAAAGCGTTAAGNTAAATAGACAACCAATAGATGTTAAGACTGTGTACCTAAAAATAGAATATGTTTTTGGTGTTTTTGAAAAATTAAAAAATGAATTAAAAAGATTAGATATTATTTTAGTACCAAACCACAAAAGCACCATAGCAAATTTGCTAAACAGTAAACATGGTAACATTGAACATAATGTTTTAGAAAAAGATAATGTAGTTTACTCATTAGATTGCAGTTGTTCACATAAAAAAAGATATGTAGGGGAAACTGGTAGAAAATTAAAGACAAGAATTAAAGAACATATATATGCCATCAAAAATAATTTAATATCATCATCAGTGGCACAACACTGCAACACTGAAGGTTGTGAAATTTTAAAAGATAGCATCAAGTGTATTATGACAGAAAACAACCAACTTAAAAGAAGACTACAGGAACACCTAGAAATTCTGAAGATACAGGAAGACATCAGAATTAATAACAACATGGGACTGAAGCTACATGAGGGGTGGATTGACATTGTTTTCACTTAACCTTGAAACAGATGCTGAACAGATGTGGGGAGTTTAGGCACATCACCTTGTAAAATGCAGATGGACAGTGCAGTTGACTTCACAAAGGCTTATAGATTAGTTGTATTTTGTTTTGTGTTAAAATTTGGAGACCAATTGGTTTAATAAGAGTAAGTTCATTGTTGGATTCCTCTCCCCTCCTTTTGTTTAGGTTTTAATATACTTAACAATATTTATTATTAATAGTGTAACCGTCTACCAGAATTTGGAAAATGTAGGAGAAACTAAGACATTTACGGGTGGAGATAATATGTGATACCACATTGTCATTGGATGCTGATTTATACTTGATAATTTAGTTTTAGTGTATAAGTTACTTTGATAATTTGTAAATGCAGTGCACTGCATATGTTGATTACCCCGTTGTACCGACAGGTTATTGGTATTGTATTTGTTACGTTGTTGCCATGTGTTTGTAAGCTGATGAGGGGTCCTTGTACCCGAAATGCATACTTACCTAAATTTGATATGTGATTATTAAAGACCAAACCTTTTTTATAAAGTTCTGGTCCTTCTTCCAGTCGGCCTGGGTGTGATAAGCCCTGCAAAACGTTATACCCTAATTGTTGGGTTATCTAATTCTGTCTAATTTATAAAACTTTTATAGAACTTCTTGATATAAGAAAATTAAATTAATGCTTGACGATTGTCGAATTAACACAATCAAAATAATTTCATTTTAATCAGTATTGAAAAAAATTTCAATCATTCAATCACATCAGTGTAAAATTTTTATACTGCTCGCCTAAGCAAATAAATTAAATTTCTAGATGAAATTTATTGTATTAAGTATTAGTATTGATTTATAGATATAAAAATATTCCAATTTTATGTAATAATTCTTACTACTTTAATATTTTATTTTGAATTAAATTATCATTTATTCGTATAAGACTATATTCTACATTAGAAGTAGATAAAAGAACGAACCTCTATATTTTTTATTTGACTTAGAAAATATGCCAATAGAGTTATTTTAATGTTATAGCACTTGTAAGAAATCGAATAAATTTTTAATTTAATACTTTTAACAACATTTTCAAAATCTATAAAAATGTTTTAATTTTATATGTAAGTTATACAATTTAGTGATAGTAATATGGCAATTAGATCTAGAAAAATTATTCAAATTATGTACATATTTATATATTGAAAAGTAATAATAAAAGTTATATTTTATTTCTGAAAATTCAAAATGAAAGGTAAATAAAGTAAATAGTACAAATTTAATACGTGTTATATTCGCATGTAATTAAATTTATTTTTATTTTTGTCTGTAATACGATAGCATATTGCGATAAAAGTCATACATTTTATCCTTTTCACTTTTATCTGTACGAAAAACAAAGAAAGTTATTAAAAATAAATCATATTTAATTTTTAATGATAATATAATACAAAGATAATATTGTTGTTATTTATTTATTCTTTTATTATTATACCATCTTTGTATATATAATTATCTTTGTAAATTCCGATTTAACTTGATAATAAATCCAACATAAACATTTTCCCACGTCGTTCAATATGCGATCATTTTTATGGTAACTTTAAATTTTTAATGTCAATCGCTATTTCATCTTAAATGTCACTGCGTATTTCAAGAAATTATGATAAAAAATTGGTATCCATTGTTTTTAATATTTTATGATTATGATTATACAAAACATTTTATATTTTGAGACTTTTTTTTAATAAATTCATGAGGATTCAAAACGAAATACAGTATAATAAAACTTAATGGAAAAATAGAATTAATATTTTTAGCTTCTTAGCGAGATTTTCATAATTTATCTGTTGTAGAATGGTTTTAGAAACTAAATTTTTAAAAGCTCAATATATGAAAATTATTTAATGACTTCTTTGTAAGGAAATGGCAAAATAATATTATTACCATGTGATCACGAATTTTGCATATTTAGAAGATTTCTTTATTCCTAGTAGCGAATTCATATATGTATATGTATATAGAAATCTTAAAGGTTAACTGACTTCGTGGTTACTTGAATGTTTCATTCATAAGTATTATTTATAAATATATAATTATTACTTTACCGGCAGTATATAACAGAGGGAAAGTATGGCGATCTGTCAAAAATTAACCCCCCTCCCAAGGTTTTTGCATTTTTGGACTCCTGACCTTGAAACGTCGAGAAATGCAAAAACAAAACAGGAATTTTTCTGTATATATGGATTGTTTAACCTGTTTAAAGCTTAATAACTCCTATGCTTTTTAGAAAATTTCTGAAATTTTGCATAGAGGTTTGTGTATTAGGGGAATTGATACTATTAAATTTTGGTGGTTAAAGGTCGAAGGAGTGGGGAGATAAAGGGGATCGTATCATATTTCGAATAGGGTCTGACTTAATAACGATTTTACTCGTATTAGCATTTACATTTTGTTTTTTATAAAACTCATCTCAACCCTCAAAATTAAATTGTTTTGTCATTTTATAATAATTAAAAACAAAAAAGTTTTTAAATAAAATATTGTAACAGATGGCGACACCAAATGTTGCCTGGAAAGTTAAGCAACTTGTTGATGCATTTTTTTTTTAATTAGGGATCGTTTAGGGCTTCAACGACAATTTGTCGCTGACTAAAACAATTTTTCGAAATCATCAAATAACAATTATAGATACAGGTTTACTAAATACAAACATTAATAGATTAAATAGCTTACGATTATACAGTTTCTAATAAATATTTATTTTTAATAGGAAAAATTTGACAGGCAATGTCGATCCGTCTGACACCATTCCATCGTCTGTTGAAATCGAAGAACTTCAACGATGCTACTGCCGGCGTCTACAACATTCTTTATTTATGTCTCTGCTTATTGTCTGTGTCATCTATGGAATTATCTTTCTTATAATAACCGTTTTTGTCTACGAACATGTAAGTTCGCATGTTCTTTCATCAGATAAAAGTTTTCATTTATCTATAGAAAACGAAGTTTGCTAATTAATCATTGTAAATGTGATTAAATGTTCTTATAATTAATTCATAGCAAAATATAATATGAGAATAAAATAAAAAAATAAATTTAATTAAGATATTAACTTATTTATGATTTTTAATTAACTTTTTAAGCAAAAATTACATTAAAACTAAGAAAAAATATAATACTTGATGTGTGTGAACTTTACTGTCTGTTATATCTGTATAATATAAAATTATTATTTTTAAGATAAATTTATTTTTTAACGTAAGAAATAGATTACTTTAAAATCTATTTTTTATGATGTGTCTGTATGTCTTTTTTATTTATTTTTGTGAAGGTTGTTTAATTTATTCAAGCCCCAGAAATAAATTAACTTTTAGAACTTTATATAATAGAAATAGAAACTTCACATTCAGATATAAAAAGTATTTTAATCTTTTAATTTACTTTATATGCAAATAATCTGAAATTAAAATGCTAGTTTTAATCTGTAGACATATTTTAAAGTGTTTTTACAATACACTAGATGATTCAGATTATATGCTCTGTCTTTGTTTATGTATACATTGAGATAAAATCGAATGATAAAAAATAACCATATTTTCATTTCTCACTTGTATTTTTAATAATAATAATATTAATATTATAATAATATATTTTTCAGTATTTGATCTTATCTACAACTTTTCTGGAGATTAGAATCTGAACGGACAGTCTAAATCATCTTATATGTTATAGATATTAAATAATAAATTATACAGACTGTATATAAACATTTCAACAACACTAAAACAGTAAAAAACCTGAGATATATTATTCTATATATATAGAATATATACTTATATATATTTTATATATATGAAATATATATATATATATATACTTATATATATTTTAGTGCTAAAATAATATACACGCTCCTCTCGATTTACACGGAAAATATTCACTCTCTCTATTCGCGTGGCATTTTTATTTTCTCAGTTGTTATATATAACAGAGGGAAAGTATGGCGATCGGTTAAAAAATGACCCTCCAAGATTTTTACATTTTTGGTTTTAGGGGTACTTGAAACGGCGAGAAATGCAAAAGAATTTGCGCATTTTTTTCTGTATTGAAGCCCCAGATGTTAGTGTGTAGGGGGATAGCACGATTTTGTTCACCCTTTTTGAAGCTTAAAAACTCCTATGATTTTTGTCGAAAATTTCTGAAATTTTATAGGCAAGTTTATTTTAGGGATTAATGCTATTAAATTCTGGTGGTTAAAGATCGAGGGGGTGGAGAGATAAAAGGGTGTCGTGTGTCATATCTCGAGTAAGTTTGGACTTAATGACGATTTTACTCGTTATTAGCATTTACAGTTTATATATATATATATAATCCATCCCGAACCTCAAAATCAAGCTTTTTTTGCCATTTTATAACAATTAAAAATATAAAAAGTTTTAAAATAAAATATTGTAACAGATGGCGCCATAAACGCAGTTTTAAATGTTACCAGGAAAGTTAAGAAACTCGTTGCTAGCTTTTTTATGAGGTTTCAGTTTACGCGTTCTCATTTTACTCTATAAAAATATTTTTCCTATCATATTTATTGAAATTACTATATATCACTAGAACAAAACTTCTTATTTGATTGTACTTTTTATATTATTCTGATCTTGTATTGATCTTGATTCGTGGAGAGCATATTGAGCATGTCTGCACACAGTGACAACAAATTTATTTTTTTGTATTCGATGCAAAAAAACTTGATTTCAGAAACTGGAGTGATTTGATAAATTTATAAGAAATTTGCTATAAGTGATAGAAACTTTAATTTCAATATTAATTTATATTTATGAATTAGGACTGTAACATTATCAAACAAATACAAAATCACATCACGGCAACATAAAGTGTACATTAAGAGTGTTATGGATAATTAAGTAAACATCTTTAAAGAAGAAAACAAAACAAAATTTTTTGCATACTAAATAAGATAGAAGTAAATAATACTTTGAATGCACGTATTGCTTAAGAGCAGGCCCACTAGTGGCCAAGTGGATAAAACCACTGAATACTGGTAGTTGGTGGTGGGTTTGCGCCTTGCCAACGAACTGGCCACGTGGAGTTTTCTGGGTTTTCTTCACGTTAATCACACCTAAATAGGGGCCTGTTATCCATAATTCCAATAAAAGACCTCTCGGGAGACATTAACCTTCTGCAGATTGCCCATGTATGTTTACCATAACCAAATAAACTAAACCATGCTTAATTAAGATCAGGCATAGTCATACATATATTTCCATGTTAAAACCTGTGTTTCTTGGATCTGATCAGTGCCAGCTGAAATTCTTAACTGTCACTGTTAAAAAAGAATTAAGAATAGATTTTGATACAAGAAATTAATGTAAAATAGATATATTTGCAACATACACGGGCTTTTCTCTTATGTATTTTGTCTTCGTATAGGCAGGCTCAATTTACGGGGTTTTCAAATGCATATAAAACACGTGAAATAAATACTCCGCGTGAATAAGTCAGTAGTTTTTAAATTGATTACAACGTCATTTGTTTCGAATTTCCACCGGAAAATGCAAATACATCTTGAAATTCATACCCCAATTTAATAAAATAGTCTATAATCGTTAAATTTTTCAAAAACTTTTTTTTTATTTTTTTAAATTATATTAAAGAAATTTAATGGTTAATATTATATTCATTATATATAAAGTTCATCTATAAAGAGAGAATTTAAATTTTTTACTCTACTTAAATATTTTTCTTACGGGTTTTCTCTCATAAAAAGTTGTAACATTTCAGTTTATCGTTATATTTTATTTATTCACGTAAATAATATATCAAAGTTGATATAGTATTCATACTGCATAGAAAATATTTTGAAATTTTAATAATGTTTTTGAATTTACAAATAAAATAGAATGTATTTGTTTAAAAAATAATTTCAACAAAATAGCAAACGAAACAAACATTTAAAAATTTTCTTTTTCCTTTTTTACAAAATGTTTCTTGGTTAATAATTAAAAAGTATTGGAAAAAATTTTTATAAATAATTTATTCTATTATTTGTTAATGTCTCGAGACTAATTATTATACAAAAGCTCTAAAATCACTATAAATATTCTTAAGTACAGTATTCTGAATTTCTACACTTTTTTGATTTTTAAGAAATATTTTGTAAAATTAGTACTGTATTATGAAAATTCTGATACCTATCTAAATGTCGTTTGTCTGTGCTGTTATTTTTACTGTGTAATAAGGAAACAATATTAATTTTTCATATTTATTATATGATCATAACATCATAAATAACACTTTATTATTCTTTCAGGATTCCACTGCAGATTCTGTTCGAATACTTACTTTGGTGATATCCCTTTGTGTGTTATTTATAGTGTTTGTCATCCTCCTACCACTTCAGGACACATTCCAGAGATGCTCTCACGCTTTGTCTTTCCTCATATGGTTATGTTTCCTTGTTGTTATTTCGGTGTTTTCTTTCAGCAAATCTTTAAGGACTGCATCAGACAATCTTCTTCCCGTATACATGATCGTGTTCGCTACGTATGCAATGCTACCTATGCCTCGGCTCATAGCTGGAACCACTGCATTGTTTACAGCTATATCTCAAATTGCATTAGAAGCAGCTTTGGCTAATAGGTTTACAGATAATTTAATTAAAGAGGTAGGCTTTTTTCTTGGGATATAATCAACGTTAGATCTATCACAAATTCGTGATTTATAACAAGATTCTAATTTTTACTTCAGGTTGTAGTCAATTGTTTATTTCTTTCGTGTGCATTGTGTGCTGGGCATTTTCACCGAAGAATGGCTGACAATGATCACGAGAAGACTTTCGTGGGGACAAACAGCGTTATCGAATCGCGTATCAAATTAGAATACGAGAAAGAACAACAGGTAACCTATTTAAAACTTCAAAAGTAGCTTTTTAAAATTTTTTAAAAACATTTAAAATTTTAATAGTATATTTTGATAATCTTCAGGAGCAACTTTTACTAAGTGTAATTCCGGCTTATATAGCTGCTGAAGTAAAACGTAGCATTATGCTAAAGATGGCAGATGCGTGCCAAACGAAACCTCATTCTAAACACAGATTTCATGAATTATATGTTCAACGTCATAATAATGTTAGGTAAATCTAATTTTCTACGAAAACTTACGCAGATGTTTGTTAAATCATTTTCATATTTCATTAACTTAATACTAAAAATAATTAATTTTATTTTACAGCATCCTTTATGCAGATATTGTTAACTTCACTAAACTGTCAGAACAACTTTCTGCTTCAGATCTTGTCCGAACTTTAAATGAACTATTTGGTCGATTTGATCAGATAGCTCAGGTAAGTGAATTAATTTACTATCAAGCGAATATATCATTTTATGCTGCAATGCATCAATTATGATCTACTCATTTTGGAACATTTCACATACTTTCATTATGTTTTCTAACCAAACTATTTAATAATTTATAATCCATTTATAAAATTAACTTTCTTCCTGTAAACAATTAATGTTTAACGAATATGCAATTATTAATCAATATTGCTACAACGGTGCAAATTTATTCTTAATTTTAAAATGTTTTTTAAGATTCAATATTGAATATACAATGTACTTTTGATAATCCGGCCCTTATTATTCCACATTCTCGATTATCCGGCATGATCGCCTAATCGTTTCTGAAAATGTTAAAATCAGGTCATACATCCTGTTTACGTGCTTACTCGAGTTTCATTTTTGTGTAGCCTACAGTATTTTATTTCAGCGTCGTAGTTTATTTGTCGCTTGTATTTAGAAGGAATCAGTACCGACAGTTTACGTGATTTATCGCCTTTAGGTCTACGCTCTCTCAGTAGTCCGGCACTCTCCGCGCAAAATTGGCCGGATTAGCAAGAGCAGGATGTAATGTATATTAAAAATTTCTATTGTCAAAATTTTTTTAATTCGAAATGAAAGCCCTGTAAAAGCAAGAAGAATTTAGTTTAAACGAGATGTATAGACTAAATGTTTTTCAGTTTTTAATGCTTTCAACATTAAAAATCTTTGTCATAAAACCTGCTGATCTAAAACATGCAAATACTTATTATTTAAAAAAAACTGAATGCAAATAAAACAAATTATTTTTATAAATCACATATTCACATTTATTAAACTGCGCCAATATCTCCAGAAGAAATTTAAAGTCGCCTTAGTGCTATATTAAAAGAAACATACAATTACTTAATTTACAAAAGCATAAATCTTCGAAGATAAAAATAATCTCCAGAATTAATTAAAAAGAGTCGTTTTGTTGAAGGGATTGACATATATTTGCAAGTAATAAAAGATGGAAATCGTATTCGTTGAATATTTTTGAATTTAATATTATTCATTGAATCCCAACACATTTTTAACGAAAGAAGAGTCTTGCATGACAATAGATGACATCATCTTTCGAGAAATAAATTAATTTCATAGTTTTCATTACAGAAAATAGGTCGAAACTTCAAAATTAAATGACAAACGGATAAGTTCAATAATAAATGGAAAGAAAACTAGGAGCCTCGTTTTTCTCGTACCAGGAAATTAATAAATCATACTGTTATATTTTAAGTAAATAATCATTTATCTTTTTTGTTTTTCAAAAGTACTGTTGATATTTTATTGATATAAAGTACATTTTAATAATAATAATTACTAATAATGCAGAATTTTAAGTTTGCCTGAGTGTTAATTTTTTTTATACGGGCGATATCAAGTAATCGAGAGATTTTAAGTTATTTAAAATTTAATCTGTTGTTTTCGAAACAAATGTTGTGCTTAAGAAAAGAATATGCTATTTGCTTAATGCTTAAACGAATCTGGATCGTCTCTTAATTACATCTGTCAATAAAACGTGTTTATTATAAAATGAGACAAGTTTTAATTAAATTTAAACTGATTATTATGCTTCAGTAATTGACTGCATAGATCAAATAAAACACTAAATTGTATTTTTATTTAATAAAATAGAAAAATTTGTCTTCGTTTTCATATGTGATTGATTCTTTGAATGATTTATGTCAGTTTAAATTTTATAAAAACTATTTTAACAAATTTAAGCAGGCAGTTGTTTATTAAATTATTCGATGTTTTATATTTATTTCTCAGCAAATATTAGAATAATATGTTTTATAATAATTTATCATTTGCCTTTTTTTCTGAGTAAAATTGTAAATAGAAAAAAATATATATATAAATTATGTATATGTATGGATGTATGCATGCATACAAACCTAGGTAAATCAAATTTAGAATGGTTATTAAGTTTAGTTATTTTCCAAAATATTTTCACAATATCTTCTCAAATAAATTAATACACAGCTTTTTTATTACTATGCTGTAATCAAGTACACAAAAAAAGGAATAAAAATCATTTTTGAAAACAAGAAACAAGTCTTTACAGAAAAAATTACTACACATTCTAATTTAGCAAATTAATTATTTGCAAGGATTGTAAATGTTTCTTTTAATTTAATTTAAAAAATATATATTTAATTCTAATGTTTATTTTATTATTTTTTCGTTTTATTTATTTATTGGATTTTAAAATAACAACATTTTTCTAATAAGCAGTATTTTGTAAATTAACTCGATATTTTGAGATTCAATATTAAATGGACCGTATCAATTTTCTTAAGTAAAATCGTAAAGAAATGAAAGGGGTAGTTTTAAGATAGGTGAATAGAAAAGCTTTAAAATAGCATCATCAACGAACATATTGAAAAACCAATCTCAAGAGACTAACAAAAGTAGTCGATTGAAGGAAAAAAAATTTGATTCTCTTGGTAGAAGAAATTTCTCTTTTACAAATCCACATCCTTACGTTTACATCGAAAGTGTTTTTGCCTAAAATGAAAATGGAACATCATAGCGGTCACGACTCTCTGGAGAATTGTATTAGTTTCAAATATTTAACTCTTTTATTAATAATTAATCATTTTTTCTTTTAAATATTGATAAGTCTATTTTTGTGCGTGATAGTAATTTTAATATAATAACTATAAATAAAAGTAAATTAATTATTGGATTATTATTATATTTTATTTGTAAATACTGCTTATAACATTTTTCCATGAAATTATAATGCCATAACAATTTATATATTATCCAATTCTTTTATTTCTTGTTCTTATTGTGCGATCGAGATTGTGGTTATTATTCTTTTATTTCTAGGAAATTCATCAGATTTATAGATTTTTTTCTCATTTAAATATAGAAGAGATAGTAAAATATTTTCCGTATTTTAGAAATGAGATGGTTCTGAAACAAGTTCGATAGTCTACATATTTGCATAATTTTATTGGACGTTCGCTGACAACAAAATGCAAAAATGTCTAGCAGATGGTGGACTTTTTTAAATCCATAAACACATTATTACAAACAAAAACCGTGCATAATTATTCATTCATTTATTCAGTTATTCGAATAATATTACATTTCACAATTATGAACTTACATAATTTTGTTATTTTGTAATATTGTAACATAAATAAAGAGGAAATTATGCAGAATTATTTTAAAATATTATTCATAAAAAGATTTTTTTTAAATTATAAATTGACAATAAGATAAACCGTCATCATGGCATATTTTAATGAAATTTAGTTCTTTTTTTAACTGTTCAGTAAGAGTTGATTATTACGAGTTGTTGCTAATTAAAAATATTGCAAATTTTTTTTACAAAATATATTAAGCCAGCGTATTATCAAAATTACATTCGTATTTATTAATATTTATTGAACTTTGTATATCAAAATTATTAACTAAATTAATTTTTCACTCTATCTGATAAAGAAATAAATCTTATATTATTAGACCTATTTATAGAAATAGATTTATATTTATTATTACTATTCCATTAAAAGTATTTACAAATCAAATTTATTTGTAAATATCAACAACTATAAGCCCATTAAAATTCCTTTTAATGAAATTTTAATAAAAAATTGCGTGAAATAAATAAATTTTTAAATCAATTTAGGATAAATGCTTGGCATTTTTAATTAATTATTAAACACCGAGTTTATGTATTTTACATTACCTTTCCTTCAGTTCACATAATTTTTCGTTATTTTATCTAAACTCCCGTAACAATAACTTAATAATAAATGTTCGCATATTTTAGATTTCTTCAATTTATATTTTCTATAAATTTACACTTCAATATTAATGTTTCGTTTTATAATATTTATTTCATATTTACTTCTACTTATATATATAATAATAATCGGATTAAACGACCTAATTTCAGTTCTTTAGAAATTTTATGAGTCTTCATACATCACTGATGTATGATTTATCGCTAACGAACTGGGAATAGGAAGAAAGCGAGATAGATGCTATTGTTAAATTCTAACTGTATAGACCTAAAATGTTACACAGAGCCCATTCGAATAAAGACTTGCTGGACTGCAATTTGAAAAAATTGTAAATTCTCACTGTCTTCGTCTGTGCGTCTGCATGTCTGTCCTTCCTTAATCTTCAGAACGGTGTTAGATAGATGAAAGTCAAGACAAGATATGGAAAGCTTAGGGTAGGAGGACCAAATAACTATATACCAACTTCTTCTTTGAGCTGTAGGTTACGTTACTTCAATTTAAAAATTTTCCCCTGAACGTAGTTAGTTAGACACATGACCGGCATGACTTCATTGTTAATTTAACAGGAAAAGTATGATGTACAGAAGCAAGACAGTACTAAACTTAAGTGCATTGTGATGAATAATTGCAGGCCTGCATTGTGACGACGTCACAATAAATATTTGCTCGTTTTCTTATTTAATTTTAATGTCAAGATGTAAAAAGTCTATTTGCACGAATAAATATTGCATTTGGTAGCCATTAGAGGTTTGCGGTTTCCTAGAAATGTTTTAATAAAGTTATTCTTATCGGTTTTCGAAAATAAAATGCCAGAATAATTGCTAGAGCCGCCGTATTTGAAATAATAGCGCTGTCATACATAATAATCTAACTCAGTATTTAGGTTGATAACAAGTGGTTAGTAAGATGTAGGTTGCGTCCTCTTCAGAAAGTTGCGAGTGAATATTTGGAGACACTGAATGAAAATGTAATTAAAATTGAATGAATATTTTGTAACATTAAGTTACATAGAAAATTGAAATTATTACAAAACTAAATCATTTTAAAATCATTTTACTTTTCCTGAAAAAAGTTAGATGAATTCGTAAATATTTTATTATGATATTTATTCCAGTTTAGCAATTAAGATGAGAGAAAAGGAATATTTTGTCGATTTTTCATTTTATGAAACGTTGCATTCATATTTCATATTCAAAACAAAAACGTGAAAAATTCGGATT